CTTCACTGTAGATCAGTGTGTAAAGTTTTTGGTTTTCTAAAAATTTATTTACAGCTGCAGATTTATTGTAATTCTGTATTCTTCTGCAGTATCTTCCTAATGGAAAATTTCACTGTACATTTCTGTAATAAAGATTTTTTTTAACTGAGTTGGGTGTTACTCTGAAAATCTAATGTCTGCCCCAGTAAATTGGTTTGAGTGCTTCCACAGTTTAAGATTTGAGTCCAGAAGTTGTTCTGGATGACTACATGCATCTAACCAGCAAACGACTTCTACCTTTCTTCACTCTTGCTGTGTGCTAGTGGCTTTAAAAGAAAAGTGTAATATGAGCAGAGGAAATACCTCATTGGTGTCTCTTCCCCTCCTGTATACAAGAGTAACTGAGAACGGGAATATATAATACAATGGTGAATTGCAAGTTTACAAGGAAAACAATGCATTTATAAGTCTGAGAAGTTCACTGCTATGTAATGTGTTCTCTCATGTAATTTGGGTAGCTTGAGTTCAGAGGGTTAAAGTAAAATGCTAATTCTAAGAGAGATTGGTTTCAGTACTTGTAATTCTATTCTCTCACAGTGTACATACTTTTTCTGCTGCAGCAGTGTGTAAGGGCACTTCTAGTGAGCTGGAGGGTTATAAACTTAATTGCTCAGTGAAAAGTTTGTGCAGAAGGACAGAGTAAAAACAGGATGCAGGTTTTTTAAAATATTTATTTCAAATATTACGTGGGCAGCTGTGGCACATAGAACATTGATGAAAGGCACAGTTAACATGACCCAATTAGGTTTTCAAATATAGCAGCAAGGTTAACAAAAAAAAATCTCTAGCTCTTAAAAATAAATTTATAGCAAGTAAATTTGGAAATGGTTAATGGAAGTATGTGGAATGTCCTAGGAAAAGATGGCTGTAGGACCAAATTTGCAGATTCCACAAGGACAGGTACAAAGAGGGCATGAAGCAGACAGAATGAAAAAGGAAAAGTATCTTTCTAAAAAGAATATTATAGATTGTTGTATTATAACAACCCAGTTATTAAAATCTGAAAGCAGAAGCTATCGAACCTGCTTGCAGTCATCTTACTCTGTTGGCCACTGTTAAGGCTTAAAAACATTCAGAATAGCATATTCAAATCTTAGCAAACAGCCATACACCATAGTTCAAGTAAAGCACAAGTTGATCTTTCAGGGAAAGGGGTGGCTGAATTGGGAGGCCCATTGCATCTTGGCTTTATACACAGCCTTGTATACTTGGCTTGGCCTACAAGCAATTCATGGATTAACACCTGCTGGGAGGAGAGGTGTGGGAGGGGATACAGAAGACCCTCCTTTCTAACTTGTAACTTTAGCACCAAAGGTTATCCAGCCACCACTGAACAGATTAGCAATTTAAAAGCTAAGTTTACTCCCTTCAAAAAGAGTTCATGGTTCCTGGATTTTAAATACTCAGTGACAGACCAGTGTGACTATTTGAGCCAGCAGTTAAACTGCACTTACGTTAAAATGTCAACAACTGAAAGCATTTGAACTGTCTAGGGATTCCTTAATGCACCACAGTTTTGCCAGATTGCCATGGATCAGAAGTGGGAAGCAAGAGAGCATTGAGAGTTTTATACAACAAATTCAGGCTTTGATAAACAGGATCTAACTTTCCTATAAGCCAAAGACTACAGCCAAAGACTACAGTCAAATACACATATACACATTCACATCCCCTGCATGTTTAACTTGTGAGAACACCCTATACTTGTTGACTAAAATTACTTTTGAGGAAATATATTCCATTCAGCCAAACTATGCTTGAAGTATGTTTTATTTACATACAAGAAAAAGCCTCCTAGAATCTGTCCCATGTTTTCATAAGCTAAAGCTTTGCCTTTCCTGAGCTATAACTGCAGAAAAACTCAATCTGAAAAATTGCCTTCATCATAAATTCTTTAGTACATCTGTAAATACTTAACAAAAAATACATTCAGAGTGCAGCCAGACCAATTATTCTCAATGAAGACAACACTAATACCAAGGCATGAGGGGAGCCCATGCACAGACTCTGGTCAATGTCCCAGCCAAGAAAAATATGGAAGTTTAACATGAGATTTTAAGTTTCGTGCTGTTCTATTGATCGATCCATCTAGACATCTTGCCGGTAGGAGCTGTCCAGTCTGGGTGTCAGTGCCTGATCTAAGTCCAAGCAGTGTTCCCTATAAGCTGTGTGTGTGAGCGGCCACTCACTAACACAGGAAGCCCTGCTCAGCAGCAATCTAGATCTGCACAGGATCTTACACTACCCATTGCCAATTTTAAGATTACAACAGTTACATTCTACTTAGGATGTGAATTGAGGGAACATTGAGCCCAACCCCACAATCCTTTCTAAATCTAATGTGGACAACTGTTTATTACAACTTCATTGCACTGCGTATTTCTTATTTCCAAGTATGCAATACAGAAGACTTCCATCTATGATCTTTGACAAATGGAGTATAAACTGTGTAAGTATTGGGAGGGGGGTGCAATTTTACCACTACAACTTTAAGTTGAGACATTTAGAAGGAAGCCATATTGACTCCATTTGATCAATTGGCTAGCAAACCAAGAGGCAAAAGGTAGTGCATTCTAAAAGGGTTCAGCTCTATCAGGTCTCTGAGACTTGGCAAGAGAAGTGTCAATTCAAGTCTAAATAACAATGCAGAAGATCAGATCAACTTAGAACTCACAGCACCAAAATGTTGACCAGTTTCCACAACCCCTATTGGAATGTGTGGTCTCAAGGTTCTCCTAACCCACTCTTAGAACAAATTGATTTGCTTCCAGCTTAGCTTCTTTTCACTATAACTTACAAATGCAAATGGCTGGGCAAATTGGGTTTGGTTTATTTTGGACTTAGAACTCCTATTTGTAGGGAGGACACAAACACCCATTTGCTTAGCTGCTTGCATTGGATGTCATGGTCCTTGTCAGTTATTCCCAAACATTCCTAAATCTGTAATTATCCCTCTCTCTGCTGTTCAGTGTACATTAAACTGGCAGATTTCATGAAAACCTGTAATACTTGAATGTTCAAAGCACTTCATGTACATTATCTCAGTAATCATTACAACAACCCTGAAAAGCAGTTCAGTATTATCATCATTCCTGTATTGCTGATGGACAACAGAGATGGTGGCTTACCTAAGGCCACTCAGTTATCTCATGGCAGAGAAAAGGTTTGAACCTCGGATTTCCTAGTTCAAAGCTCAGTGTCTTAACCACTAGGCTACACTACCTAGCAAATGTGTATGTTCCTAGCCAAATAAGAAGGAATCACAGAATTTCAGCGAAACAGTTCCATAAATCTAGAACAGACGTAATAAAAATGCAAAGAGTCATATTCTTTTGTGGAAACATCCTTGCAACTTAAATAAAATAGCTGTCATGTGATGATGATTTTTTAAAAGAAAAAATGAACAGGCTCACAACAGACTCAAAAAATAAAACAAAGCAAGCAGACAACCCAGTCACATCAATATAATACATCACATTCTTAAAAGAAGGCAAGACAACAGTTTTTGGCAAAAGCTCATATCCAAGATACAGAAGTATCTAAGAATTAGCTCATGACACAAGCTACACCACTGAAGTAAACTTTGTTTACCTGCATGAGTCACAGATGTGGAGTTGAGGTAAAAGCTCAGCTCATATCTTGGCTGGGGTATGATTAAGAAAAAAACTTTTTTTTAACGATAATATACTATTGCATGTTTACTGTGCTGCAGAGCACAAAGTGCTTGAACTGCCTCTCTTCAAGGCTACTGACCAGGCAAGCATCTCTCATGTTCATCCTTGAAGTACAAAAGACAACAAGCATTTAGATCTCACTTCAGTCAGCTGGAGTGCAATGCTTTGAGCAGGAGCTGGACCCTCTTAAGGAAAAAGGAAGCCACAACAACAATGAATTAAATATTCTGACAAAGTCACATTTTAAAAGCTCAGCTGAGGTTATTGTGTATCTATTATTAATCCTAATAAAATGGTAATCGGAGTCATTCCAAAAGACTGAACAGAGTTCATATAAAAGGAGATGCAAAAACAATTTTTTTAAAAAAATGCAGACATCAGAATGCTCTTTTGTCTTGAGAAACAACTTGGGTGTGTTCTGAAGTCTCTACAAAGGTTAAAAAGGAATAGCCTATTATCAAAATTTCCCTTTAAGGAGATGAATCACACCTCAGGTCATTGCAGATGTAACACCCCCTACTAAGTACAAAATTTCCTCAACATGCTTTCTAGGATTACATGTTGTGGACTGTGAATATGGGAAATGTTCTTCAAAATCATAGCATGTCATGATTTTGCTTTTGAACAACACTACCTTAGACTCTGGGCATAACCCAAGGGGAACTACTCTTGTACAAGTCCCTTTAATTTCAACAGGGCTCACACAAGAGAAGTTCCTCGGTAGATTTGGCCCATGGAATGCTACAAAAAGTGCTTCATTTGCAAACTCAGTTTAGCTTTCCTAACCATGGCAGTATATTACAAAACTATGTTTGCTTTATATATCAAAGCAAAATGCAGAGTTAACTCAAAGAAGTAAGGTGATTCATTTAAAAAAAACTGCATCAAGTTATTTCCTGCATAAAAATATGTACTTTTCAAATCATTTTAATAAATTAAATATCCCTAATGCTTTTGAATATATATCCCTGATAATCTATAAAAGAGGGTTTGCATTAGCAAAATAAATGAACCTCCAAAAAGTACCCCCTTCACAAAATGTATTTTAACAACTATAGTTTTTCATCTTCAAGGAATGTAACAATATGTACAACTTTGATGTAGCATATCCTATCACCATTGACAGGTTAAAGAGATTACTATGATCCTTATGCAGCAAAGTCATGTTCAGATGGAGGAAATTGTGAATCTAGATAAATACCACCAGAATAGTATCAGTTTTAAGACTGTGATTAACCCTTATTGGGTCAGTCATTCCATCTACAGTAGACTTCACAGGAGGTAGCATTTCAGTGAGAAAGAAGAGTTGGAAATAAGGTGCATGATCAGTGTCTTCATCTTCACTCCATGATCTGAAGATTTCATTAAAAAGTTTACAAAAAGACCAATCTTTTTTTCCCCTTCCTTCCTCTTGACTGATCAGTTAGGGAGCTTTTTAATATGAACCTGCAATGCAGAATTGAAAAGTGGCTGATTAAAAACATAGCATGTATTGACAGGGACTTTCCACCCATAACAACAAAAGATGGTTTATTGTGTTTTTTAACTGAGTCAGCAACATTTTTTCCTGTAACATTCAACATGCCCTTTCAAGCACCAATCATTGTGACTTCTGACCAGCCACTTACTGCATATTCTTTAAAACAAAAATACTGTTTACAAGGAAATTATGTGTATCATAAATCAAAAGTGAAACTTCTGAATTAATCTAGCCTCAGGTTTTTCATACAAACTGATAAAGTAGTTAAATAGAGACTGCAATGTGATATAGTTACTCCAGTCTAAACCCACTGATTTCAATAGGCCTAGTTTCTAGTGAATCTGAATAGGATCTCACTGGCTGCGGTCACACGTAACAGAAGCCACACAAGTGAGACGGAAAACAGCCGGAGTTTCCGGGCGCGATCTCACCAGCACATCTGGGAAGCGTAGCACTCCCGTGGCTCAACCGAGGCTTCCAGCTGAAACTGCGTGGCAAAAAACTAGTACCATGGAGGTACTAGTTTCCGGAAACTGCGGGGCAAGGGCGGGCGTCTGATCGCGTTTCCGGTGGCATCCGGCGCCCGCCCATGTCCCCTTGCAAATAAGGTGGGTTTTTTTGTCCAAGTCTCTGTGGATGCGCATGCGCACCCAACGGAGCATGCGCATTTGTCATGTACACAAAAATAAAAAACAGTTTGCCGCGGCGCACGCTTCTTCGTCGCGCGCCGGCTTGTCCTGTGATCGGCACCTCTCCCTTGCCATGGAACCTCCACGGTACCTCCACAGGAGGTCTGATCGCGTAACTGCGCAGTAGTTTGCCCCAGGGCAAACAGCCACGCTTCTCCTCTGCAGTTTCTTGCCCGTGTGACCGGGGCCACTGTTAGTTATTCTAAACTGTCTTCCAAACAGCATGAAAATATTCTGAGAGAGTTAACATAGCACTGGGATGTCACAGTTCAAAATTTGCAATGCATGCAAAAAAGGGCTTTTTTTCACATGGGAGCCACATTGACATGATCTCAGTGCATGGCACCCGCAAGCTGAGGCCACATACACTGACTAAAAAAAATCTGTGTCCATGCACAGCCAATATGTGTTGAAGAAATCTTAACAGGACATACAAAATTGTCTTATTCCAAGAAAGCTGGTCCACCTTGGAAAGTACAGCATATTCTGGCTGTACCCTTCCAAAGACTCAGGCAGAAGAAGGAGAGAAGAAGAAGGAGAGATTGGATTTATACCCTGCCCTTCACTCGGAGTCTCAGAGCAGCTTACAAACTCCTTTCCCTTCCCCTCCCCACAACAGACACCCTGCAAGGTAGGTGGGCTGAGAGAGCTCTTTCCAGAACTGTCCGAGAGAACAGCTGTGCCAGAACTATGGCTTGCCCAAGGTCATCCAGCAACTGCAAGTGGAGAAGTGGAGAATCAAACCCAGTTCTCCCAGATTAGACTCCACACACTTAACCACTGTTCCATCATGAGGACCTTTAGTTGGAGATGCAGGAGTTTGAAACTGAGATCTTCTGCATACATAAGTCTTGGATCCACTAGAATTACTTTCTTGCCTCTCCCTTTCTGCTGCAGTTCAAAATTGCTCCCCCTGATGCTGTTTCTGGGGGAACAGCCCCCCCGGAACAGCATTAGAAAGGATTTGGTAAAATTCACCTCCCCCTTTTGTCCATGGAAACCCTCCACTGGCTCCAACCCAAGCCCCTATTCAAATAAGGGTCATGGGATATCACACTACATTTCTGGTGCTTAAAGCAGAAATGTTTGTAAGCTCAACACTCCTAATAAGAGAAGGCTTTTCTGTTTACATCTTACCTCATTTAGAATTGCCCAGACTGAAGAATTCTGTATTACCAGAAGTCGGACAGCTGCAATAGGATTTAGACTGGGATCAGCGGTTCCTTCTGCTATACCATTTTCAAATTTGCCTTTAAAAACAACCACAACAACATATTCTAATCAGGCATAAGGAAACTGAAGTGCAATTGCTGACAGAAATTTCATGAGCCCCAAGTCTAATGTCATGCTGGCAAAACGAAGAGCTCAGCTGCATAACTTTGCATGAGCTCAGGGTCTTCTTTAAACTGTGCTGCAACCTATACAAAGTCGATATGTGTGCTCAGTTCATACATCAGCACTATCTGGAAAGGTTACAGATCTCTGTAGTACAAATTAAGCCAACATAAAACTGCTGTTTAACAAATTAGATTCCTGTACATCAAGGGAAATAAAGCAAATAGTGTAAAAAGCTTGTATGACAAAGCAACCTACACACAAGTCCTAAACATATTACTTTCAAATAACATATCACAGGTGTCAATGGAACTGCTAGAAAGGGGGAGATTTGTTTATCAAAGAAAATTAATACATTCTCAGTTCCAACTAAGAAAAGCAACATAACTGTATTCATTAAGAAAAATATATATTCTGGGACAAGGACACAACTAATTTAGGTACCTGAAAAGTGCTTTTACAGTATTTAGGGAAGTCTGGAATTTTTGTCAGCATATAAAGTTATTAAGATGCCATAATGGGACTTTTCTTTCCTAATAAGACAACAGCTGCACTACTATCTGATCTATGACTGGCTCTTGTTTCTCTCGCCTCCACTTCCAAGGGCCTCTAATAGAACAGCAGCCGATAGGACTGAGCCAGAAGATGAACTGCCATAGTTATGAAACAAATCTCCAGTAGTCACCATTTCTGTACAATGTACCAGTATTACCTATTCTGAAATATCCATCTTCTAATCGTTTCTCTTTGGTTTCTTTGCTTAATACCAAGTCTTCACTCTGAAAATCAAGATGTACAACATAAGCACCAATCTACACAATAAGGTAGTAAGATACAAAACAGAAAGCCCGTTTTCTGCAGTATTTGACTGTTTATGGGCCTAAGGTCATGATACATTTCCCTAGGTCACTGTCTCAGGTCAACAAATATGGGAGATATTGGAGTTCCAGGCACCCCAGGTGTGCACAGACACAATTCAGATCAGAACCACTTCATGAGAGGAGGCCACAGCCCCAAAGCCCGGTTCAGGGTGCCTGACCTGAAAAGGTCCCTATGAGCTGCTATTTGCCAATTTTGGAAACTTGACATGTAGTCTGTCATTAGATGTTAAATTTCCCCAATGGGACAAATAGCAGTTCCCTGGGGCAGTTTCAGGTATGGAAAATGGCATGGGGGAAGAAGACTGAAGCTCCCTTTCCTTTCCTCACGCACCACAGTCGTGATCCAAAACAGGGCCCCACAGGCCTGGGAAGCGTGGAACTCCCGGACCATATCTATCAACCCAACAACCTACCCAAGAAAAATGTATCTCAGTTAGCCCCTTAGGTGTTCTCAGATGAGTCTGCTGCACTACAAGATGTTACTTATAGGAACAGATTTATTTATTTTGTAGTTTCTGCGTATGTATAGTGACAAGAGAGATGGTGTTCAAGAAATGGACTATAATTTCACTTGGAGGTGAAGCTATGCAAAGCTTAGAAAGTAGTATTTAATGCACAAATAGACTGCTGTAGATGAGTGTTCTCAGCCATCTGTTAAGATCCAACATAATCTTGGGTTGGATCTAGTACAATGTTTCTGTGGACACAAAGACTTCTATCCACAAAGCATGACTTTTGCAGCTCCCTTGGGGGCATTTTGGGCTGCCACAAGAGGCAGAAGTAGCACTCCATGGGTGGAGGTCCTTGTGCCCACAGAAACACTGCACTAAATCCAACCCTTTGACTATAAGTCTTGTTTATGTTATATTGCCTTGGACTTAATCAGAATCGCATCACCATCCAAAGTGCCTCCCAGTCTCACTCAGGTCAGAACTAGACACTTAAAGGAGACGCACAGCTGATGCCAAAATGGCAGCCACACATCTCCTCCTTGAGCACACAGCAACACCTACTAATACAAGAGATATATGGATATCTACAAGTGTCACAGTCCTGCTTCATTAGCTTCCACACAGGGGGCAGTTAATCTTGCAGCCTGATGATGATGTCATGTTCTGTATTTTTATATTACTCTAATGGAAACCCTATCATAGGAAGTAATCTAACTCCTTCTGCTCGGGGGGGGGATAGGTAAAACTGCTAGCATGATTATAAAATGTGACATACTTCTGCCAGTGAATTTACACTGTTTAAGTTTCTGAACTAAACAGGCATTCTTTTATTCTATCCTTCGTCATCTCCATCCCCATTACTACCCTTTGTCAAGGTGGAAGTTTCCTTACAGTTGTGCACTCAAAAGTGGCATAATGATGCCATTATGAAAACAGCAGTAACTGATAGCATTGCGTAATATAAGTGTCCAGCTAGAAATCTGTGCACAACAGAAGTAGCACCACTACCTTGAAAACATTTTCAAATCTTTCCTTCAACATCAAGGAGAAGCATCTGCCCCCAAGGACCAAACAACAATAAGTAACTCTGAGGAAAAGGCACTACCATTTTGGAAAGCTGGACAGTCAGTCTTGGTCAAAACACATAACTTAGAAAAATAATAGTCCCATTTATAATTAGGGTTGTGAAACCTTTACCTTTAACCTATTCCTTGCACAAATACAAAGAACACTGTGTTTCAAGAAGCCAAATGCCACAATCTAGTTATGCAGCTTTGAGTCCATATACTTTTGTTATGTACATTCTGCATCACTTAACCATGGGGTGGTGATTTTAGGAGTTACAGGGAAGAGGGAGGGAAGAGATGATGAGAACTTTCAAACAAGTTGTTTTTTTTTTTGAGAACACCCCTCTTGATTGGTAGAAAAGAGCAACAGTCCAGGAGCACCTTAAAGACTAAAAAATACGTGGCCGGGTATGAGCTTTCATGAGTCACTGCCCACTTCTTCAGACTCACAAAAAAATCATACCCTGACACATATTCTGTTAGTCTTTAAGGCACTACTGGACTCTTGCTCTTTTCTACTGATACAGACAGACTAACACGGCTACTCATCTTGCTCTAACCCCTTTTGATTATCGGCAATTTCCCCCAAGTTTTGTTTGGATCCCGAGTTCTCCCTTTCTGAAAATAAAATTCCTTATTTGAACCATAACTTTTAAAAATAGGATTAGTAGCTAATAATTCCAGGAAAATAAGCAGCCATATTCTCATACAACAGTAAAACTGTCATGAGCTTTCATGTTACTCTGATGATTATGATAATGGGCTTCTCTGCAACCATACCTTGAATGGCAAAACTTCTACTGTTGTATTAATGAATATATCCCCCGGATGCTCCGGGTTACCACTGTGGAACAGGTATCTAGAAATATAAAAATACATAATATACCCACATCAGTCACAACTGAGAAATTGGGGAGGGGTTGGTGGTGGGGAAATCTGGAAGATATTCAAAAATATTTGAGAATTTAACAGTAAAACATGCAAACAGGCTGGGTGAACTATGAATGGAACAAGTAAATGAATGGCTCCCGTATGGGCCTTTGTTCTCCCCCCACCCAATCAGGGGATGCTCAAGAACAGAGTAGAATATGACACTGGGGCAGAGGGCTGAAGCAGGAGTGGGAAATCAGTAGAAAGCATCACCTCCCATTTTTCAAGTGGCCAGGCAAAAGAAGGAAGGGGCTACTTCTGCACCCTGCAGCCCTCCCATAGAGTACCCCACTCTCTTCCAGAGTGTCCCCTCATCCTCAGGGGATGCTGGGTATAGGAACAAAGGGACAAGAGATATTTCCATGAATCCCTCTGCAGTTCATTGGATCCAACTAATTAAAACAGTAAATGTTCTTTCATACGGCTGTCAAAGTGATCAGAAAAGAATCTAACAGCCGAATGAGGTTTATGTATGCCTCTGATTCCACAATCAAGTATTAATTCAATTATACTGATGGCTTCTAACTGATTTAAATCTAAACAATGGCCCTAGAATGCAAATTTAAAAACCCACACATAGAGGCCCTGTTCAGATAGGGGGAATTCTTGCTTGGGGAAAAGCACATTGTGCTGGCAGAAAGTGCTACCAGGAGTCTTTTAGTAGAAAAAGAGCTGCAGGAGCTCATTAGCATATGGTATGCTAATGAGCTACTAAGCTATTAGCATATGCCACGTCCCCTGGTATCACCGGAAGTGATGTCAGAAGGGGAAGCAAAAGGGGGGAGGCATCTTCAAACGCCTCCCCTTCCCTTCCCTTCCCCAGCTGGCCTGCACAGGGGGAGCGAAGAGAGAAGGGATTTAAAGTTTAAACCCCTTCTCACTAGAGTTAGGCCACAGAAGGAGGACAGAGTGAAGGAAAGAGAGAGAGAAGAACGAAGGAAAGAGGGAAAGAAAGAGAAGGAAAGAAGGTGTTGGATTCTCTGGACTAGGTACTGCCAGGGAACCATGGAAAAACAGCAGAGTGCACAAAGGCTTAAACACAGCAGAGCTTGGGGCTTGGTGTGGCAGACTTACAAAGTCACACGGAGTGGGCAGTCAGTTCTAAAAACTAAATAACATTTATTAAAGGAAATACATGGTTGAGAGTGCAGGTAAGAGATTACCTATTCTAACTAACTAGATGGTGTTGGATGCTGGACGTATGTCCAGCCTCCATGGTGCAAAATGGAGATCAAGCACCTTCTTCATGCATGGAGGAGAGAAGAGAGAGTGGGAGCGGAAGCAAAGGAAATTGCCCCTAAGAGTAGCATTCTACTTCAAAGGAAAGGATCAGATAGCAGGAAGGAAAGGATGCTCTGTGTGTCCTGACCTCTCTATCTGTCTAAACTCTTTGGTGCCATCTTCTCAAGTCTGAGACAGGAGACAGCGCCAAGTCCTCCACTTCTAACACCCCCTCTCGATGTCTCATGGCTCAGCCGACGAGATTCATCTTCTTCCTTAGAGTCTCAAAGCCTTTTGCAGTTCTCTTACCAGGTGGTATTTCTTGTCAATGTGTTTGGTGCGCATGTTCATGCCTTCTTGCTTGGACATCTGAATGCAGCTTTGGTTGTCTTCATACATTAGCATGGGCTTTGGTACGTCTAGTCCCAGGTCTGTCAGCAGATAGTATAGCCATTGTAGCTCTCGACAACCTTGTGCAGCTGACACGTATTCAGCTTCAGCAGTAGACATTGTTACTAAGTCTTGCTTCTTACTCATCCAGCTTATGGCTCCTTCTCCAAAGAAGAATATGTTTCCACTGGTGGATTTTCTGTCTGTTAGATCTCCTCCAAAGTCAGAATCTACATATGCCACCAACTGAGGATCACCACTGGCTGGTAGTTTGAGTTTGAGGCCTATAGTACCTTTCGAGTACTTCACAATTCTTTGGAAGGAAAGAAGGGATAAAAAGAGAGAAGGAAAGGGAAAGAAAGAGAGAGAAGGGAAGAAGGAGGGAAAGGAGGGAAAAAAAGAAGAAGGCGGGAAAGAAAGAGAGAAGGGAAGAAGGGGGAAAAGAGGAAAAGGAGAGAAGGAAAGGAGGGAATGAAAGAAAGAGAGAAGGAAAGGAGGAAAAGAGAGGAAGGAAGGAAGAGAAGGGAAAGAGAGAAAGAAAAGGAGGGAAAGAAAAGGAAAGGAGGGAAAGATGGAAAAGAGATAAAGGGAGGGAGGCTCTCGCAGCCCCCCATCAAGCCCCCGCCACCCCCACCCTCTGATCCCTTACTTAACGCTTCGGCGCAGGCCTGGGGGAGCCAGCTGCGGGCTCTCCGGGCTTCCCCCAGCCCCAGCTCTTCTGTGCGGGCCCGGGGGACCCGGCTGCGGGGCTCTCCAGGCTCCCCCCGGCCCCAACTACTCCCCAGGCCTACTCCCGGCCCCAGCGCTCCGGCTCAGGCCCGGGAGACCCGGCTGTGGGGCTCTCCGGGCCTGCTCCCGACCCCAGCGCTCTGGCGTGGGCCCGGGGAACCCAGCTGCAGGGCTCTCCGGGCTTCCCCCTGCCCCAGCACTCTTGCGCGGGCCCGGGGAACCCGGCTGCAGGGCTCTCTGGGCCTGCCCCCAGCCTCAGCGCTCTGGTGCGGGCCCAAGGAACCCGGCTGCGGCGCTCTCTGGGCCTGCCCCTGGCCCCAGCACTTCGGCATGGGGAGCTGGGGGCGAGGCTTGCTGTGCGGCTTCTGGGCTGCCGGAGCGGTGCTCCGGTGCGCTCTGGCCCCAAAAGACCCCTGGGTGCTACCATTAGTGGAACAAATCCATGGGATCCAATGCAGTAGCAGAATGCACTAAAATATCATTATGTTCACCCACTGGTTTCTGGCTGCTGTGATCTTTAATGTCATTTTTGTGTCCATGTACTCTTTTGCATAGGAGCTGCGGTGGCTCAAGTGGTTAAGACGCTGAACTGCAGGCTGTGGAAGGTCAGTAGTTCAGCAGTTCGAGACCCGGGTGCCGCAAGATGGAGGGAGCTCCCATCTCTAGTTCCAGCTCCTGCCAACCTAGCAGTTCGAAAGCAAGAAATTGCAAGTAGATAAATAAGTACCACTTCGGTGGGAAGGTAACAGTGTTCTGTGCACCTTGGTGTTTAGTCATGCCGGCCACATGACCACGGAAACGTCTTCGGACAGCGCTGGCTCTTCGGCTTTGAAACGGAGATGAGCACCGCAACCCTAGAGTCAGACTCGACTGGCTTTCGAGCAAGGGAACCTTTACCTTTACCTTTACTCTTTTGCATAAGGACTTGACCTGTCTGTCCAGTGTAAAGAGTAGATACAGAGAGCATTTCCCACCTCATACAAATTTGAATTACTTAAGCTATATTTCTGTAACTTCCTATAGCATCTGCTTATCTAACTTCATGCTGCACTAGATTTCACATTTTTACCATCTAACAACAGTTGGAAACATCTCGCACCCATTTTGAGGTAACAGATTTCCCTTTGGATTGAATCTCATTTTTGAACTGGCACATTTTTATTACACCTCCTCCTCCCACTTTTTGGTTGTGTAAATAAACCAGGTTTGATGGATTTACAATGCTGAGTCTCTGAATAAGTGAGCTCTGACTCACCACTGCTTACACTGGCCGTGTTGGCCTGAAGCAGTAGAACAAATTTAGAGTCCAGTGGCACCTTTAAGACCAACAAAGGTTTATTCAAGGTATGAGCTTTTGTGTGCAAGTCTTAAAGGTGCCACTGGACTCTAAATTTGGAATAAATACTGTGAGTCTAAGGTGCCACTGGACTTGCATTATTTTGAGACTGCTTTCAGGAAGGAACCAGAGAAAATGGATATAAAATGTACTCAGTTTAAACAGCCATCAACTTCCAGCATAACTACTGCTGAATAACTGCTAGAGTTACAAGAACAATACCTGATGACTGCAGTTTCTCATATTAACAGCATGAACTCATCTTGCATTGACAGTTTAATATGTCTGTAATGTTGAAATACTTGCTGAATTGATCCAAAACAAAAGCCATATAATACCTTTCGTTAAGACTGACCAAAACAACAAGAAACATCTCACAAGCTTTTTATTTTTTATTGTTGTTGTTGTTGTTGTTAGGTTTCTATTCTATCCCAGAGGCTTAGGGTGCATTACAATAATAAAATAACAATTGCATATAAAAATACATAATATATAAGATAACAAAATTAGACATTGGCCATTCATAAATAATCAATAAATTATAAAAAAGTGATTGGTGGATAAGTTCCAGGAGGGCCAACAAAAACAATTCTCCAGAACTCTAGAACTCTTTGTCAAGTTGGGGGAGGGGAGAGAAAAAGCCATTTCAGGTCAGGCCATGATTTTAAGGCCTCTTGCCTGCACCCTGTGTAAAATGCCAGGCAGATTTCAATAGATAATGGTGTTGACTGGAGCTCCTATGACACTGCACCTTTGACCTTCTGGGAAGAAAAAGGGGCAACAGCAGCCTCCAATTGTAAAGACTAAGAACAAGGAGAAAGTACGGAAGTCACTGTGTTAAGAATAGTTGTAGATGATGTACTAGTTAAAAAGTTAATGGAAGCCAAACTGAGTAATATGGGGGACAGAGTGAGCAATTCTTGAACAATTTTTCTCTTTTTATGGGCTAAATCAGTGTTTCCAAAATAGATACTGACTGGAGGTAGCCACATTGGTCGAAAGCAAACTTGAAATGCAAAAATCCATGTAATACCTTTTATCAGGGGTCGTTTCGTAGAAAAAGAGCCAGAGGAACTCATTAGCATAACTCATTAGCATATGCCACACCCCCTGACATCACCGGAAGTATGTCATAAGGCCACACCCCCTGCCATCACCGGAAGTGTGTCATAAGGCCACACCCACCACTCAGTTAGTCTTAATCTTAAAGGTTAGTTTTAAAGGTGCTATTTGTTAGTCTTAAAGGTGCTATT